TGTTCACAACTTTGGGAAAAAAAAGTTTGATGTCAAATTTCTTTCATTTCAGAGATACAGCGATTGTGAACTTTTAAATTACTCTCAGTTATATTCTTACTTCTTAAACATTATTTGTTGTGGGCAAATTATTTTCATTACAATCTTTGAAAAAAATTTATTATTTTTATTTTAGGTGTATGAGTGTATTGCCTGCATGTGTGTAAGTGCACTTGTGTCATACAATGCCCATGGAGGTCAGAAGAGGGTGTCAGATCCCCTGAAACTGGAATTAGGATGGTTGTTAGCTGACATGTGGGTGCTGGGAACTGAACCCAGGTCCTCTGCAAGAGCAACCAGTGCTCTTAACCACTGAGCCAACTCTCCAGCCCACAAATATTATTTTTACAAAGTAGACATTACAAAGAATCTGAAATAAAAAGAAATATTAAGGCTAACAGCTAGAAACCAATATTAAAGTAGATTAGTAGCCAAACAAAATGCTATGTTTGGGGAATGACTATAACTTAACTCTTATCTCATATGGAAACAAAACAAAACAAAATACTTCAGTAACTATATAGCTACAGATGTCCTTTAGTAGAAAATTTGGTGAGAAAAAAATATTAGTCCCCAAAGTTTCCAGTGACAGCTTCCTACTGCATTTCCTTTTACCCTATTTCTAGATGGTTCTAATTATTAGAAAATTCTTGCTTAAATTAATTGCATCTTTTGTCTATCTCTCCATAATTTCTGTTGATTAGGACTAGTTCTGGACTCTAGAATAATACAAAACAGACCTAGTCCTTCTTCCACATGCTAGCTCTAAATATCTGTATATCACTCCTAAATTCCTTCATGTCTTCTTCTATTAGCCCAAAGGCCAAAGACACCTTATGCTTACTACAGGTTCCTAGGCCATGACTTTCACATTTTCATTGTCTACCATCTTCTACACACTAACATACCAATGTTTCAATAACATGACATCCCAAGTTAATTTAATCTTCTCAGGGATACAAGGACTCCATATAGTCAAGATGCAACTTCTTCCCAAATTGATCTACAAACTGATTATAGAGACCATCAAAACCCCTGCAGACAGCTAGGCGTGGTGGTACACACCTTTAATCCCAGTACCCAGGAGGCAGAGGCAGGCAGATCTCTGTGAGGTCAAGGCCAGCCTGGTCTACATAGAGAGCTCTAGGCCAGTTGGGGCTTCTGGGAGATTGTGTTTCAAAACAGCAACAACGAAACCCCAAACCCAAGCAGGCTGCCTTTAGGTAGACAAACTGATGCTAAAGTTTATATTGAAATCCAGAGTAGATACCAGAGTATTAAAAGAGAAGACCAAAGTTGGAGGATGGATACCACCTGACTTCAAGACTTATTATAAAGCTACAGGAAGTGTGGTAGCTGATGAAATAACTGAAAAATACATTAGAGAAACAAAACAGACAACCCAGAAATAGATTCTCACAGATAAAGTCAAGTGATCTTTGACAAAAGAGTTATAGCAATTCAATGGAGAAAAGACAGTCTATCAAAGAATGATGCCAGATCTATCAAAGAATGATGCTAGAAAACTAGGGATCCATATGGGAAAAAGTGAATTTAGGCACAGACCTCACAGCCTTCACAAAAATTAACTTAAGACGGATCACAGACTTAAATATAAAATGCAAAACAGTAGTAAACTAAATCTCAAAGAAGGGAACCCCATTTTAGGCACAACATTAAGGAAGTAGTTTATAAAAGAAATTATAAGGTGGCTTTCATTAAAATAGAAAATTTTCACCCTGTGAAAGTTACTGTCAAGAGAATGATAAAACAATCCAAAAGAATAAGATAAAAAGTTTGCAAACGACATCTGCAAACACATAAAGCTATCACACATCGACTATAAAAAACATAGAACAATTCAAACTGAACAATAAGAAATTTGATTTTTTTTTTAAAAAGAAAAACTCCTGTCACCAAAATGAAGCTATGCAGATGACTGTGAAAGTTACTGTCAAGAGAATGATAAAACAATCCAAAAGAATAAGATAAAAAGTTTGCAAACGACATCTGCAAACACAGAAAGCTATCACACATCGACTATAAAAAACATAGAACAATTCAAACTGAACAATAAGAAATTTGATTTTTTTTTTAAAAAGAAAAACTCCTGTCACCAAAATGAAGCTATGCAGATGACAAGTACATGAAAAGATAATCATCATGGGACGTCATTATGAAACTGCAAATAAACAAAAAATGATACTACCACATACCTTTCTTTTGAATTTTTTTTTTTTAAATTTTGTGTATGAGTGCTTTGCCTGCATGTATCAAACTGCATCATATGTATACAAGGCCTGTGGAGGACAGAAAAGGGCATTGGATCCTCTGGAACTGGAGTTACAGACAGTTGTTAGCTGTGATATGGGTGCTGGGAACTTAACTCAGGTCCTCTACAAGAGCAGCCAGTGTTCTTAAAGGCTGAGTCAACTCTCCAGCCCCTCTCCTTATATTTATTCCGTCTTTTTTTTTTTTTTTTTTGAGACAGGGTCTCCCTGTAGCCCCAGCTGGCCTGGAACTCGCTCGGTAGGCCAGGCTGGCCTCAAACTCACAGAAGATATGCCTGCCTCTGCCTCCCGTGTGCTGGAATTAAAGGCCACCATGCCAGGCCCTACTTTTTTTTTTTTAAATCGGGTCTCATTAAGTGGCCCAGGCAAGTCTTATATTTGTCATACTCCTGCCTCAGCCTCCCAAGAAGTTAAAGGCCTATTCCATTAGATTTTTGGTTAAAGCCGTTTCCTTCCTTCCTTCCTTCCTTCCTTCCTTCCTTCCTTCCTTCCTTCCTCTTCGTTCCTGACAAATCATCCTGAAGCTTACTTTTTCTATTCCCTTCCTCCCTCCCTCCCTCCCTCCCTCCTCTCCTTCCTTCTTCCCTCCCTTCCATCCTTTCTTCCTTCCTTTCTTTTTCTAAATTCTCTT